TTAAATATACACTCTCTCTCATCTCTCAGTGGTGGCAACCTGGCAGGAATGCATGTTCCTCTATCATCAAAGTGACGAGGGCTGAGACCTTTCCTCAAATCTCTAAACCCTAATTTCCCCTTTCCCTTTGATCTCCAAAAGTACTAATTCCATACCCCCTGTTACCTGCAACCCCAGCTCCTGCATTACCCCAATCTCTCTCTCTCTCTCTCTCTCTCTCTGTTCTGAGCTCTGCAACTGTGTTCCCCATTCCCGTTTCTCTCTCTCTCTGGAACGTTATCCCCAATCTCCCATTATCTAGCTTTCCACCACATTTTCTGGGATCTCCATTCTACCTCTGCTACATTATCCCCTGTCTCCCTTCTCTGTCTCTGCAACATTATTCAAGATTTGCCCTTTTTCTCATTGTTTCCAAACTCTTTACTCTGCAACATTCCCTTAGTCTCTCTCTCTCTCTCTACTTTTTCACAGATCGGATCCAAACCCACTTCTACACTGAGAGCATCCCCCCTAGAGCTTTAATGGCGGGCCTTCATTCCAAAACTAGCTAGATCCTGTAACGATGCCCTAGGGTTTCGCCACCGGCTGGATAAAGCAGAAGCATCGCCGGTCAAATATGAAATCCAGCGACAAGGAAATCGAGAAATTGGTCATCTGGGACCAGATGGCCACCTCAAACAGGAGCCCCGGCTCCATTACGAGCAATCGAGTGAGCAGCCTAACAAAACTCATGGCCTGGCTCATTATCGCCATCTCCATGACCTACGTCGTCTATTCTCTAAACCTCCTCCTCAACTCTCGTTCCTGTCTCCCCGTCCATTCCTCTAACTCTGTAAAATCATCCATTATGGCCTCAGATTCCAGCAACTCATCTCAGATCCGCAAAAATAACCACCCACCGGAAAAGGCGCCTGAAAATCACAAGACCACCAGTCTCAGCCACATCATGTTTGGAATCGCCGCTTCCGCCTCGCTTTGGGAGCAACGAAAAGAGTACATAAAGCTGTGGTGGCGACCTAGTGAGATGAGGGGAGTCGTTTGGCTCGATCGGACGGTCAAGATCAAGAGGGGCGAGGGCCTGCCGACGGTCAAGATCTCGGGGAACACATCGGGATTCGCCTACAAGAACCGACAGGGCCATCGGTCGGCGATTCGGATATCGAGAATCGTTTCCGAGACATTGAGACTTGATGGGATCGAAGGGGTACATTGGTTCGTGATGGGCGATGACGACACTGTGTTTGTGGTCGATAATTTGGTTAGGATTTTGTCCAAATACGATCACAACCAGTTCTATTATATCGGGAGCTTATCAGAGAGCCATTTGCAGAACATATACTTCTCCTATGGGATGGCTTATGGTGGTGGAGGCTTCGCCATTAGTTATCCCCTCGCGAAGGCTCTGTCGAAGATGCAGGATCGCTGCATACAGAGGTATCCGGGCTTGTACGGGAGCGACGACCGGATGCAGGCATGCATGGCGGAGCTTGGGGTGCCCCTCACCAAAGAGCCAGGCTTCCATCAAGTGAGTTCCCTACCTTCTCTCTCTACTGTAAAACCCATCAAATTTCTCTCTCTACTGTAAAACCCATCCATTTCTGTCTCCTTTAGGAGGAGCATTAATGTGCGCCATTTGAGGGGAAGGGTTCATTATTGAACGCTATCGTCTGTACATTTTGCAGCTCGATATAACGTTCTCTCTCTTCTTCCCTGTGTTTCTCTGTGGAAGGTATTCTTCACTTGTGTTCTTAGTTGTTGGTTGCATCTCTCTCTCTCTAGATATTATTTCTATTCCCTCTCATTTGAACCTCTCTCTCTCTCTCTCTCTCTCTCTCTAGATATTATTTCTATTCCCTCTCATTTGAACCTCTTTTATTATTGTCTGGTTCCTTTTACTACATGCGTGTTTACCACTTTATGTGAACTCTGTACCTAACAATTTCAGTGCACTTTTGTGTCCTCCATATAACATTTATTTATTTAGGGGAGAGGTTCTGGACCGTTCACCATTCTGACTTGTGAGATTAACGCGCATTGGTTGGTTGGTTACTCATCTAAGTTTAGGCCTCTTCTCTTCTGGGGAGGGAAGGCCAGTGAAACCCCCATTTATACTATTAATTCGGATGAAGTTTCCAGGCTTCTCAAAATCCTCATCCCTGCTTTCGGCAACAGATGTATCCATGGCGCTTCTGAAATCAATTTTCAACACTGAAAATAAATTTTTAAACTCAAAAAATATACAGATCTTGTTTATCTTTGAACATTTATCTTTAGCTCAAAATGGGCTGTCAAGATAATTTGTTATACTATACACTATTTTTTTTTAGCATGAAATCCTAATTTTGTTAATGGCCGTGATCTTCATGCTGAGATGATCGATCGATGTAAAGATTTTCCAATGCTTGATTTTTTAAGAGTCATGAGGTAAGGTATGGCTTTACTTATTGGTTGTGGTTTCTATAAGGTTCCAACCTTAAACAATCCAATTAAGGCGCCTTCCAAATTTTATCATAACTGTAATGTAATTTTGGTGTCAAAATTCTCCCAAATTCTATTTTCATATCTAATTATAAAATTTTAAACTTTAAAAATGGTTAAAATCAAGTAGATCTATAAATATAAAAAAATTTTAAAAAGATAATGTGTTGCAAGATGCACTATTTTTAGAATTCAATTTTCTTTTTTTTTTTTTCATATTCGTGATAAATTGAAAAGGCTTTTCAACATTAAAACAACCTTTTTCTGTGGATTTTTGAGGTGCATCTGTAATTCAACATTTTAAGATCGTAACCTTTTATATAAATTTTTTCTTTACTTATTTTGACAACCATTTTCCGTGGGTTTTATTTGCTTCCCTCGGCGTCTTCTGGGGGAGGGAAAGCGAGTGAAACCTCGGAAGGGAACGAAATAAAGGGCGTTTGAGTGAGTCATTTACTTTATTTAAGTTAAGAGCCTCTTAAAATAGGCAAACCGCCTGGGCACTACGAGGGCCCGCACGACGCGTGCAATAACCTAAGACGGTGCGTGTCGGCGATTCGTGCGTTTATTTTTTTTAATCTTTAAATTAAGAGTTGAATGCTCACCAGCCGTGGGGGAAATTTATACTGTCGAGTCCTATACATTTATTTATCCTTCTATGTCTCACCCTAAAACTCACCGAAAATTTTTGCAGTCCTGACCTTTAATAATCTTCAAAGCCTTGCGTTATGGCTGTGAAAAAACATTAGGATTTCAAGCATTAAAGTAGCGTATATGGTAAAATACTATCTATACATCGAGATCTGATATCCAAGATCTAATCCGTAAAAATCTATATCATTTTTTGAGCTTCAAATTTAACAATTGCAAATTGATTATAGGGCTTTCATTGAAAGTTTTAATATCCAAGGTATTTTTTAAACTGCATTTTTTTCCAAACTTTCCGATGTACCCTTTATCTACAAGCTCATTTCCGGGGGTTTCCAAACAAGTTGCGGTCGTAGCAGTGATCAGTCATAGTAGTAAAGGATCTCCGTGCTCTCGATTTTATTCGCCGGAACCAACGGCTGATATCTTACGTGCGAGGTTCGGATGACGGATCCATGCGAACCTTAGCCTCGTACGCTCACTTCTTTTAATGTGGAGATTTGGTAGTGTCCTGTTTCTCTTTATCTAGAGCTGCCCTACTCGTCAGTGTCCTTAAAACCTTGGTGGCCATTCAAACTGGAATGGCGGACGTACTACCGCTAACCATTTTTTTATCAAATCCGATGGACGGTCCATATTGAACCGACACCTTCAAATTCGTAACATCTGGACCGTCTGGCCGACAAACCTTTTTTTTTTTTTGTCTCATTTTGAAGTTTATTTTCACCAACAGGCGGTCCAGATTAACCGGCACAAACGCCTAGAACTACCAATCCCCGTTCATCCCATCCCTAGTGTCTGACAGTACAGAAGACCCTCTAGTTCCATCCTGCATTGGGCATCACGATGAACCCAAAGATAAAGCGCATTTCCGTACTTGTGGTTGTGTATGATTTCTATTTTGAGGTGGTGTATGCCTTTTCATGACCTTTTCTTTCTATGTGTTGCGTACAGTACGATGTGTATGGAAACCTCTTCGGCTTGCTCGCGGCGCACCCAGTAACCCCTCTGGTGAGCCTGCACCACCTGGACGTGGTGGAGCCCATCTTCCCAAACGTCACACGTGTAGAGGCCCTGAGACGCTTGCATGGGCCCATGAAGGCGGACTCAGCCGGGCTCATGCAGCAGTCCATATGCTACGACCGCACACGGGAGTGGTCCTTCTCTGTTTCGTGGGGCTACGCCGTACAGATATTTAGAGGGGTGTTTTCCCCCAGAGAGCTGGAGATGCCTTCTAGAACCTTCCTGAACTGGTACAGGAGGGCCGATTATACGGCCTATGCTTTCAACACGCGCCCCGTGTCCCGCCACCCGTGTCAAAAGCCGTTTGTTTTCTATTTCGATTCGCTTAGATACACAACCACCCACGATACACAGGCGATCACAGTGACTCGGTACTCCAGGCACAGGGTCCCCGCTCCCGAGTGCAGGTGGAGGATGGTGTCTCCTGCGAAGATCGAGTGGATCGAGGTTCGCAAGAAGCCCGACCCTTTGCTTTGGAACAAGGTAAATCGTTTGCTCTGTTCAATGATCGGAATTCTTGTTCTTGAAATCTCCAGTAGTTTGGGCTAAGGTCATTGTTTCCTTGTTTGTGCAGTCGCCTAGGAGGAATTGCTGCAGGGTTATGACGGAGAAGGAGGTTGGGGCCAAAGGAGTGAGCATTGAGGTGGGGGAATGTAGAGATGGAGAGATCAGCGAGTTATAGAGAGAGAAAGAAACAGGGTAGGAGATGATGGTTCTAGGTCATTATAGAATAAAAAAAAGGATTACATTTATGAAAATGGTTAGCTAATCTGCTTGCCGTGTACGATAGTTTTTTCACAGTCTCCTCATTCCATTGATTAATGCCAGGGTTCTTTTGTGTTCCCATGTACGTGTGTGCCATAGTTTAAGCCTACCTCATTATTGCGGTGAAGTATACAACAACCGTGTATGGTACACCTTAGGGTGCCTGCCGTCCTTTTTTTTTTGACGGAGTGCACTCCTCTAAATATTTAGAGCCACACTCAATTTCCTATCTATATTTAATTCTTGTGGATGGTCCCATGCCATATCTTATCCGGACTACGGTAGATACAGTAATGCGACTCAACATCGTTTTCTTGGGTGTGGATTGCATAAGGCTGACTCAGTAAACGATCCAAGTAAGGTGGGCCTTCGGAAAATGTTGTTTCAATCAATGGTCCTGGGAAAATTTATTTTTATATTTAATTATAGAGTAATGATCTTAACATTCTCTTTCCTTGTGTTAGACCTAAATCTCTAAAAAGTTATCACATGAGTGGAGAACTTGAAGTTTTTAGAGATCCGTATTTATCAATTTTAATGACGATTTTTTGAAGATCCTACACACATGGGTGAAAAAAGAAAATGTCTTATAGGATCATTTATCTTAATTTATAAAATTAAAAGCTTCAAATATAGTGCCGATGGAGTAGAGATTTTAACACTTGAAAATTTACGGTGTAAAAGATGTGCTATTTCAAAGTATTGAAATTTATTTATTTTCCATATCCATGTATCGAGATAATCGATTTGAGGATTTTCGGATATAGGAACAACATCTTCTAATGAAATTTGAGTTGCATTTTAATTTGATTCTATAGGGCCTCACCCATATTTTAAACTTTCCCTTGTGGAGCTCCTCGAAATTGGATTGACATATGCTAACTTCTTAAATTGGGCTCTCCTTGTAACGAACTGTATCTTTCCCTTTTTCTCTCTCCGTGGAATTAGAATCGAAACCTTTTTTTTTCCCAATTGAAGGGGGGTACTTTTCACCAAATTTGGGGCACTTTTCAACGGTTTTAAATTGCCAATGTTTTAGTCAAGTCTGCTTGTCTTTTACGAGGAAAATGGTAGAGGCGAAGCGCATATTGGAATTAGTACATTTAGATGTACGCGTGTAACGGTACAGCGGCAAGTGGGCCGCCCTGTTTGCCACGTGGATGCAGGGATGAGATGCATGTGAAATTCGGTCGGTGGCAATAATTTCTACTCATCATTTGCTCATCAAGGAAGACCCGGAAAATATGTATGTATTGAATCCATGTTGTAATTACAGGAAGAAAAAAAAAAAAGTCTAATATTGTAATTTAGTAAAAAGAAATTCAAATATGAGGTTATTTGTTTGTATTTAAAAAAATAAAGGGCGCCCTAAGGTTTTCCACAGCCTAAGGGTTTCTATGGGAGCGAAATTCTGCTGGAGGGGGGATAGGTCATTTTCCTGAGATTATTTATTATATGGAGGTGGAGGTCACCACTCTATGGAGGGAAATATGTTACACTTAGGCAAGATGCGTGTTAATGATAGTATGCTAACCATATGTTGAGGAAATAAAGCTATGTAATTGTAGAATGTAAGTAGGAATTATTGGTTTGTAATTTTGTATTGGGGCGTGGAGGTGGGATTGTCTATAAAATTGACGATTTATCTTTGATATAAGGAGTTGTGAATCATTTTTGTCCTTATATAAATTTTAAAATTGGTGGATGTGATAGTGTCATTGAATATACATAGATTTTTTTTTTAAAAAAAATCTCGAACTTCATGACTCACCTCAAACAATCCAATTTCACTATCTAATGAGTGAGAATGATTGTGACCACCATGTACAAAAGATAAATGGTATCTTTATAAATTATTTATTTCTTTTATTATTATATATATTTTTTAAAATATTAGGTATAACATTTTTTTAGTAAATATATTGTTGGTCTTTATATTGAGCATTTTCTTATAAAGAGTATTTTCTTATCATTAGAAAGAGTGTAACATCATCCACTTAGAGTTTAATATCACTTACATAAAGCATTAAATGTCAAATTAGTGCACACCCCTCCCTTATTGTATTACATAGAGCATTAAATGTCAAATATCGTATCACAAAACAAACAAATACAGGGAGAAATAATAATAAATCACAAAATAAAAATAAAATCAAAGCTTGAGAGAATATACCCTCTCTCAAGATCCGTAAAAGAATCCACCCCAAAATGATATTTTCACCGGTATAAATTTACTAAGTTTTTATTTTATTTTATTTTCCACAAGTTCCCTATTTTTTTTTTTCTCTTCATCTCTCTATTTTCTCTATCATGTGAATCTCCAGGGCTCCTCCATAAAAATCTCTTCCTAGATTTTAAAAGTAGGACTTTTTAGATTATCCCAAGATACCACAAGTATATTTCCTCAAAACCCAACCTTATTTAATTTATCTCTTGAAACAAATTAAATCTAGCTTATCCTATAATTCAACCCTTTAACCACATAAAAAATATCTTCTTAGATTTTAAGTCCAAGTAGGGCTTTTTAGAAAAGCCCAAGGATATCCTCGAAACTCAACCTTGTTTAACTTATCTCTTTAAAACGAACAAAATCTAGCTTATCCTAAAATTTAACGCACCAAATCTTCCCTCCAATATCCAACTTTTTAACCACATCAAAAAAACTCACGCACCAAATCTTCCTTCTCGTATCTTACCGCACTTCCAATTCTAAAAAAAAAAATAGAAATAAAAACCTAAAAAAATAATAACATTAATATAACTCAAATTTTTTTCACCAAATCCAAGAGGACTGCAAAAGTGAGTTTGACAACATTAAAGGAAGGTAGGATTAGTTTGACACTTGCACCGAATATCCAAGTTAGACAAAAAGTGTTGGCATACCTGAAACGGCCTTCCATACTTCACCATCTTTCAGGTCCCCATACGCATACTCCCATTAGAACCCGCTCGGAAGATAAAGTAGCCGGTTTGAGGGGATAGTCGGCATCATCAAAGACTCTGTCTCTAGTGGAAGGTGGAATGCCCATGGATCATGAACTTCTTTATCTAGAGAATAAGTACCGGCTTTATTTTTGACAACAAAAGTATGACAGAGGATGCAAATGATATTCGGAATGATTGTCTAAAAAAGAAAACAGAAAAATTCTCTTGGATTTCCAATGGAGCTCCAATTAAACTTTTAACTTGATCGACTTTTCTCAATGTTCTGCTGCATCTATGAGGCAAGTTCGTAATTTCTCTAGAAAACCCTAAAAAGTAAAACAAATTTAACTTTGAAAGTGAGAGAGAAAACAACCCCTTAATTCATTTGTAGTTGTTACTAAATGCTTCCAATTCTTTTATGTCCCATTTTGATCCTGGGATATATCCATTTCTAGGATATTGAAATTCAAGGGATCATCGGTTGATATGCTTAAGAGACCCCGTTAGCCTCTTCACTTTCCTCTATTACTCTCTCATACTCCATTTAAGGGTATATAGAATCTTTTATAACTTGAAAATAGAGTAAAATGAGGAAATCTTAGGACTTAAAAGTTACTTGGTCTCTTCACTTTCCTCAATTACTCTCTCACCTACATTTAAGGGCAGATAGAATGTTTTATAACTTGAAAATAGATTAAAATTAGGAAATCTTAGGACTTGAAAGTTACTTGGCCAAACAGTGGATTCGCAAAACTTGGATTCTATCCAGATTCTTTCCAAATAGCTTTATGTAATGCCCAAGATTTATTTCTCCTAAATGATTAATATCAAGGACATGAACCAAAGCATAGATTGAGATTCTAAAGAGCTAGATTGGCTGTTAAAAATCATATAATCAATGTTGGAGTTAAGAATACTTCTTTTTGAGTTTATCAACTCCTTTTTTTTTTTTAACTTCTTTTGACCCTATGAACTCCTTATCCAAGTTAAAAGCATTCCCTTGTTGATTGCCGTTAACAAAACAGAGGAAAACCGAATAGCAACACCATGCAATCCCCAAGCAAAACTACATGTACCAACCATAGCTTTTAAAACCAGATAGGACCGGCTTGTCCAACAAGTCAGATCATTGACGGGTGCTTTGGCTGTTCTGCTCTAAAATAAGTGAATTTGGTAAAAAACCAATCAAATTAACTTTAACTGGTTTCAGCCAGTCTGGCTAACTGGTTTTAATCAGTTTGACCAATTAAATAAAGTTGGACAATTTTTTAATATATTTCATAATTTTGAATTTTTAGTTTTTTTAAATTTTTTTTTTCAAAAATCCGATCAACAACAACTATATCAGTTTTAATTAGACTGAACCCCTCACTAATTCAATAACCAATTCAGCTTAGATCTTGATAACACTAGTACTAACTATTAAACAAAGAAAGCTCTAAATGTACCAAAATAAAATTAGCAACACACTTGCCTAAGGAAAAAGGTTATATAAAGTTGCAACCTTATATTATAAAAGTAAGATGCACCTCAAAAATCCATTAGAAAAAAAAATTTCCGAAGTTAGAAAACCGTCTAATTGATCATCACGGCCATGAGACATATGGATATAACGGAACAAAAAAAATTTATAGTCCTACAAATGATGTTTCTTGTGACAAGTTATCTGAACCATTTAATTTCAAATTTTTTGAGTGTTTATATATCTACTCAATCTAAACTATTTTTTGTAATTTTAATTTTCATTTATTAAAATTAAATATGGATTTTCAAATCATCATAAGGTTTCTGACACTGGAACTATATCTTTCAGATAACTATATCGATAAGGTATAAGGTGGGCACCTTATGTAAACCTCACACCTTACCTAAATAAATGTCAAATAATGAAATTGCCCTTTTTTTTCAAACTCCATTAATCCTTCACCACTATCGGCCAAGGGTGTGACGGCCAAGGGTGTGAGTTCAAAGTTGTGAGAGAGACAGAAAGAGAATGGAAAATAATGGACCTTTCACTCCCATTTTCTTTTTCATGCTTACTTACCACCAAACCTACCATCCCCTAGTGGGGAATCTTCAACTTATGAGCAACTGGCCACAAACCCCAAATATTTAAATATTTAAATTATAAAATAGTACAGTTATTAAATAAAATTAAGTGGCTGTCAGTTCTTTGAAAAAGATGAAACGGCCATGGACTTTCCTTTACAGTTTCTATCATCAAACTAGGGAGAAAAATAATAAATTTATATCACAGACAAGGATGCTATGGGTCCCTTTGGTAAAATAATACATTTCAATAATTCCC